ATTTCTATATCAAGGTAGGTTACTGCTGTCTGACTTGATTTGGCAGGGTGAGACTTCTTAAAGTAATTTTCAACTCAAAAGTGCGGAGGGGTGCAACCCTAAGGAACTTTCAAACTCCTACATGCTTAGCAATCTACGTCCGTGCTAAATTACTCTTGTCAGATCTTATGAAAAGGCCGTCTACGCCAATGTATTCGGGTTAACTGAGCCTCAAATTAGACAGAACCTCGTGATTGAGGATTTTTCAGTGATAAAAGTTCGAAGTCTGATGGTGCCCAAGTCTCTATGGAAGGGCCATAGAAGCATCAAGCTAATCTAGGAGTCTACCACACTAATGCCTGCAATTTGTTGAACGGACGGATTAAGGAGTATTGTATGGTAGACTGAAAACTCGGATGTCACCGCCATTGTCGAGCATGGCTTATGATATCAGGGAGAATGAAGTTAACACCCCTAAACTCACACTACTTAAGGCAGACAGTATGCGGCAAAGGAGTCTAAGTGATTATCAGCCTTGAGAAGTGCCTAGGCTTGCGAAGCATTGAAGCTCACACGGAAGCTGGTCATGAAAACTTCCACGCTAAGCGTTGGTGTGTGATCCTTAGGGATAAAACTTTTGATCCTTACTCACTGGGAAGTTTCTTCTTGTTCCTGAGTTACTTCATGCAGTTTAACTTTCGCTAACTGATTCATTCCTAAAGTTCCTGTCTTTTATTTAGTGACATGCACTGCCCCACTTCACTGTTCACTTAACTTCCAGCTTGTGGTGTTATTGTATAATCGAACCGCTAAGATTCTGAAGAATACTCTTTTTTCCCTATGTTTCGAAGGTTTCGTGATAGAGAGTGTTTCAACGAATTCGGCCATACAGTAGAATGTAGAGGTCGTTTTCTCTTGCTCAGACCATAACAATGTAATTTTGGTCTTTACAGAGGATGTGAAACTTATACAACATATTCCACCCTACACTGCGCTCACTCTCAAGTTCGCGGCCACAGCAGTGTCTGCGGCCCGAAGCCCAGGACAATTGAACTCCTGGGAAGCCGTCATAATCTCTGTCGTTTTATAACACCGGCACATAAAGCCTGGGTTTCACTTGGTAGCTGCTTGGAGCTAGCCCAAGCAAATTCACCCCCGAATAATCCAACTCTTCACCACATTGTCCTTCCCAAGTTGTTGGGAACATTGCTGTTCTTAGGATTAACCCAGAAATTCTTAAGCCAATCAGATTTAAGTATTAATGCTGGAAGATGTTTATCACATCTGCGAATTCTGACTTCATTAAGTTGTACACAGTCACCAGGAACAAAGCTGTTGAATGAACTAGTCAATCATCGATGGAGTTCGGAAAGCTTCTGGCTCAAAGTGCAACAGAACAACCCAAAAGATTTTTTTAGTACGTTGACCTTGGCAGTAAGTCATACAACGGGCTCCCAAACACGAAACGCCGTTGTAAACCTCATCGATGAAGAAGTATCCAGACGGAGTACTAAAACTATAGACATATCTGTCCCACCAGTGCCTTAATCAAGATACTTGAAAGACTTTTCAAGAAAGCTAACTTGGCATATCTGGAAAACAACAACATGTTATTCATAGCACAGTATGGTATCCAAGGAAACCTCCATTACCCGCAAAACTTCTCACTGAAAGGAGAGGCTGAATGCAGTAAAGGGACAAAAGATAACCCATTGACGCCTTTCTGACAGACCACGGTAGGACCTAATTTTGTGTACATGAGGGAAGCCAGTTTACGGGCATCATCGAAATGATAAATAATATATACATGGAGCAAGTATATTTACAATTTTCACTTACACAGCATATGTATACACACGGAAAGGTGATGGAATAATGTCAACAATAGCACCTTATATAGATAAAACAGTTTATGTGATATAATCCCAGGCACTATCGTTCTTTGAATTTGTCGGAAACGCACGCAGTAACTGATCGTTGTGTTACATATGGTCAATATGGTGAGCTATTCACAAAGAAACAAAGTGGCATGTTAAACGTTAGTTGGTTTGTCGACAGCAACATTTTCAGCTATAACCTCTGCAAGAGGCTCAACAAAGCAGTTAGTGTCCAGTTAAACATGTAAAGATGCATCAATAAATCACCATAACCAGCAACAGGTGAATTCTTAAATTCTTTTCAGTCAGCAACCTGAGTTACCGTGACGAAATTCATAAAAAATGATGAATGAAGCAGGCAGGAGCAGAATATTACAATCGAATGGCTCGGTGAGGTTTAAAATGCAATAGTCAGGATATCTTTTAGGGGCTGAAGGTACTGACGTTCACGGATAGTACGAAGCATACTAACGCAATATCTAATACCCACAACTTCTATGGTATTCGTTCCGCGTAGACCAAAGGCAGAGCAAAACACCAGCAGTGATCGTTCAAATTATGAGTTATATTTCTGAACCAAATCGGAGTGCGAGATGAATGCTTAAACAGCTAAGGATCGTGCACGAACGAACGAACGTGACACGATTGCGTACCAAATGGTGTGGATGCTTGGCCGGAAGCCTTCAGCTAAACAAGTTGACTTAAAGAGTGAGTATCAGCATCCAATGTTCAGGGATGAAAGCTGTGGCCAATAATTCTGGGGAATTACCCACCGCTACATCTTCATTATTTCTCAAGTATCCATGTTCATAGACGCTGCACATGTAGTGATTTTAATTTGTCAGCATGACCAACATATGGATGAATATCCAGTGTGTATTACGGCTTGTTTGTGCGTTGATGGAACAGCGGTTAGGACGCTCGCCGACCATGCACATGATCCGGGGTTCGATCCCTGGCGGACTCACTCCTTTACCTCGCTAAGCCAGTAATAATGCTGGTAAAGAGGAAAGGTTGGGCATGAGGCCAGCAACCCCATCCTGTAAAATTGACACTGCTACAGAAACTTCAAACCACTAACTTGAAGCCCTGTGTTCCACTGGGGAACGTGAAGGAAAAAAATTACGGCTTGTTTGCCGTGCAGATTTAGTTGATTCCATTTCGTGTGGGGTTAGATTATTCTACGATTTTGATATATTCCACTGTGATCAAAGGAAGAATACGCATGCTTCAAACGCACTATTTCGTGGACTTTTACTACCACAGGGTATAAACTCAATACTGAGGAAATGTAAAGAATTTGAGTCGTATCAAAAGGATTGTGGATTTACGCAACGCACATAAGACTCCTGCTGAACTTGGAAACTCCTGGAATCGATGACTGCATGCTAAACTGGATCACGGAATTTCACATATGCTGAAGATGGAATCAGAGTCGACTCAAAGTTCTCCGCATGGACAAAGGTACATGGTGAAGCACCACAGGATACCACACCTGGTCCACTGTTGATCATATTCTACACGAACGGATTGCCTAGGCCCACCAAATCTCCCATGGTTCTCTACGTTGATTTGATTTGATTTTTTTTTTGATGGTACGTTCAAGTTGCGAGCAGATGTTAATATATTGTCGGGGTCGCTGAAAGACTGGATGCCCTCAGTCAACAAACATGGCCATAATAGATGCAGAACTAGAAGCGATAACGCCACCAGCACTTCTGACTCACACGAATTTAGGTGCCATAATAAGTCAGTACCAAACAGCTACAACACATTGTCCCACACTGGCAGTTCGAAGCTTCAGATCACTACCGGTAACACACACAGAGCTTACTAGAATCACTGTTAATATGTTGAATCCTTATTTAAGTGAAGCTGGCAAAATGAATCCGGAAAAACATCCCTGATCTCAGGGTCACTTGCACATTCTACAAAGGGTTCAAGGGAAAGCCAGATATGTGATTCTAGAAGTGACCAATTTATCACACAACGAATGACTTAAAAGTTTTAATCCTATCTGGTTGATATACCGTAGGTAGAGAAGAGGTCCCATCACAGTGGTTAAAATCCACTTCAGAGACTGTGGGCCTGACTAATCTTTAGTTTTACTTCCAAGTAGGGTGGAATCGCCAGAGGATACAGCAGGAGAGTTCAGAAGCAGAGAAGATATTATACAGCTGTAGAATACTAGAAAGGAAGCCGAGTGACATATCTGAATAATTAAAAAATACCGAATTTCATTTTGTGTTATTTGGGGAAGAGAATTCAAGTATTGAGCATTTACTTTCTAAAAGACAGTGATGAACAAGTGAGACGGGAGACCTAGTCATGCACACATAAGAGAATGCATCATTCAATAAAAGGAAGCCTTACAAATCACAAATGGTACAGTCCTTACTTAGCTGCTCGGAACATCTCTTCGAATTCCCAGACGCTAACTATGCCTGAGTGGTTAAAGCTTACTGTGTTGTGCTGCCCTACACTAGTTCTCGCCTAAGAAAATGACTTCACCAAAATGACTACAGAAATCACTGACCGGAATTTATTGACCCCCTACACTCTTTCTGCGTCATAAAATCTTGGAACCTAGGAGGAGAGATGTTAGCATCGTAAAATGAAAATGTTCGGGAAGAGTCTAGGCAAAAACTGAAGCGTAACAGAAAATGACTAACATAGGCTCCAGAATTTCTGTCCCCAATCAGTAATTCTGAATCTAAATCCAATATTCTATTTGCAGGCTGGTTCCACAATTTCTTTTATGCAGGGGAATAATATGATTTAGTTCCTGCAGTTGTGCAGCAGCGAATATTATTGAAAGGAAAAAGTATCTTAAGAAATATACGGGACCTGAAAATTATTTTGTTAGTCGGTGATTCTATGGCAGAATGCTCGCAGATAACACTCACGTGGTCCGGAATCTGACTTCTAGCCAACGCATTCCTAAACCTCACTTGGCTCGAAATAGTTCCGAGAAAGGGTAAGCGTTAAGCTGGCGACCTCAAATGGTAAAAGTGTTCCGTTATTACGAATACTTGAAAGCTCGAGCTAGAAGTCTTATGTTCCACTCGAAAACAATGGAAAAGTGTAATAAGGCTTTGAAATAAATTATCACTTAATATCCGAAAGCAATATTGAAATTGGTATCTGAGTCGGTATAGTAACTGTAAGTTTGGTGGGAATTCGAAGCTGAACACAAATTGAAGGAAGGACGTTGTCGAGTCAGAGGCATACTATTTTGCTGGTTGAAAAATAAAAACCGAAAAATTTTCAATGCTTTCGACTACAGTGATCAACACAAGAAGTCCAGTCACATTCTCAGAAGAGATAAGAGGTAAATTTAATTTGTGTGACATATGAACAGGTAGAAGACATTTCAATCAAGCACATAGAAGAACCTCTTTATTCGGTTCAGAAAATGAACCACAGTGTTTTGAAGAGCATACTAAGAATCCTGTAAATGGCAGTTATGTTTTACATAATGGAATGAATAATGGTCGTGAAACTCTGAAAATTCATCAAAACCATGTACGTAATTTGTGAAGTACTCTATTAGTTAATCCAGAATGAAAACGAAGTTGATCGGCTTGTGGGAGAACGTAGTAGTCAAGATATCCGAAAAGTGATAAATAACAACACTTCATAGATATTTTAGGCCCCCATAGAAAACCACACAATAGATAATAAATATTCGATTTGTAATGGCAACAGAAGCAGAGAAGAACCCGTGAATGGTTCAAAAGTTGAAAAAAGTTAGTCACTTCTTTCACGGAAAAATTTACATCTGTTCTGTCTGTAGATGGTGAAGCAAATAATTACAGGAAGGATGAAAGCCTAGATTCGAATTTTCACGAAGGATATAACGAAGTAAGTGCTCATTCTGTGCACATAAACTGTTTCTTTATCTTTTGCTGTGATGTAATTTATAAGCCATTTTTGTTTGACTAGAAATTTTAAAGTTGGAGTAAATGTAATTTATTATTGGATGCCTAATGTAAACTTAAATGTTGAAATGATTGTAATTATCAGTAGAAACAAAAGGTTAGGCGAACAATATATGAATTCATATGCATAAACGTAGAGAATAGATTGATTATTTAGCATAGTTTTTGAGTCAAGTTGGGTAATTAGCATGTATGAAGAAACTAGCTCAAATTGACAGTGGGTCACGTGATGAAACAAATGTCTTGAACTAAACATGCTCACTTAAGCTGTAGAGATTAACACTTATTGTGGAATATTGATATCACGACAGGTTATTTATCCAACGGAGATGTTAACCACCAAAACTCACTTCATCCTGATAGAGGCATGAATATTTTGAGCAGTTACTAACTCAAGAGTACAAGCCTAATAATAGATCCACTTATAGAACTCATCCGACAGGCATTTTAGCTATGAGTAGGTTTTATTTTTATTTTTGTGTAAACAAATTATCTAAAAAATTGCACAAAACGAATATACGTCCGTTCTTCTTATTCATTGGCTTCTCACTCATCGCTGCATTCACACAGAAGTGAAAAAACAGAAAGATAAGAACTCTTCAAAATATGATTTAGAAACTCAGCACGATACTATGACATATAAGCGGAATAGTAGAGTTATTATCACTATTATTATTACATCAAACAAAACGGATGAATGCCAATAATGGTGGTTAATAATAACTTTCTTCCATTCATACTCTGAGGTGAATATAATAACAAATTTAATTTTGCGCCTCATATAGATTGGCTGATAGAAGCCCAAAAGTATACACTGCTAAGTGCATCATGCCTCCCCCAAATATATTTTTTCTCCGTGAATTCCCTTGACTTGAGAACTACTTCAAAATCTCCCATCCAGTATAGTATGCCATAACATAATTTCAACTTTGAGTTGTTTATCATTTAGCCACAGGTCATCTTTGCAAGTTCATATTTTACTCGTATGAAACAAGTTTGATAAAACAGTTAGAAATTCAAGGAGAAATGTCTCACTCTGTTCATAATTTCATATCATTTGTGAATTACAGACACTGATTTAAAACGTTGACAAAGTAAATATTTTATTTGTTATTTGAGAGACTTTTAGTACAGATAAGAAGTAATGGTGAATCTACATTCATGGTGATAAACTTAGACAATTTCATAGGATACACAGAACTTAATTGTGGAATAGAAACAGTGAGGTCACTTTACTTATGCTATTCTGACCAATCAACGTTCAAGTCAACAACTACAATTGTTAGATAGATCATCTATAAACTTAACTATGCGGAACATCGGTCTGATTAAGCACTCTACCTTTCAGTCATGCGTCCTGGGCTTGAGTTCCAGATCATTTAAAATTAAGCCTAGGTAACTGGTTACTTCCACACCGTTTCGGTTTTAGTTCCGAAAGAAGTCGTGGTAAGGGTCTACTCAGAAATTCGACTGATAATTTGACTATTTTTGGGTTCCAAATTATACTACTAGAGCTGTTGGGGTTGTTTCTGTAGACCGTGTGCTTATCTATATTTTGTGTAAATTATCAGGATTACATTTGGAATCGGTAATGCTGTCAACGACAAAAAAAGTTTGAACTACTCACTGGGCTCCAGTAGATGGAAGTTAACAATAAGACAGGCACAGATCTCAAAGGGTTCATAGACGTTCATATCGATTTCTAAGAACCCAAGCAAAACACAAAGTGACAAAAGTTTGTTTGTCACTTTTCAAGAATTTATATAATTTCACATATACAATAGACACTTACTTGCGATAGTTATGCCTTATAGTTAAGGGAAAGCCATCCACTTTAAAAGTAAATTGAATGTAAGACAATTACTTACGATTTGACACTATTATAACTATGTTCTAAGAGAATAAAGTTAATTCTTTAACAATAAATTTAAACAACTTTAAGAATTTGAAAGATACCAGTGGAGTAGAACATCTGATTCAAGCTGCTAAAGAAAGAGCTAGAAAAAGAGAACTGGATAGATATAAAGTCGATGAAGACTCATTTCTCCTTGAAACACCAGAAAAGCCAAAAAGTAGTAAAGAACAAAAAAGAGGAATGATCAATGCACCATGGCATACAGATCCAGATGAAGGGATTGGCTCAGAAAAATACCAGAGACGAAATGGAAGAATTGCCGACGAAGCACCTAATGTACAACGTTTAAAGTCAAGGTCTCAAAGTATCACTCAACAGGATTTCCCAAGATATTCTGCTCAAGAACTAAAAGTAAGTAAATATATATGAGTATTTTTTGAGATTTCATAAGAGTTTATTAGTGTTATTAATAAAGAACAAACTTGGTACATTGTGGCCACTAAGAGACAAAATACTTAAAAAATATTCAAACAACAATATTTAAGAAAATAAGGATGAAATGAATGTGGGACATCGTTTCGAAAGCAAGTGAGCATACTTATCAAGATCTTTCAAAGGATGGTTCATCATTACTTCATGTTGCTTTCAGAAAGGGTGCAAATAAGGAAATTGCAACATGTTCGACACTGATTACAATTCTCGGCGATATGTGATAACACCTCGAGCCACTAGTTTTAGTGATCTCTACGATTCTACCAAGGGGTTCGTGATGCACCAGTGGATGCTAATCTAACACAAGTATCCTTCTTCCCTCAGCGCCACGTCATAGAGTGACTACCTCTCCCCTTTGCCATCCATTCGTAAGCCGAGTGAATAGCGAGAGAAATGGCAACCTGTAGGATGACATTCATAGTACATATCCAAGACACCAAAGCAGTTGCCACAAGATGATAACCTTCAATGGAAGATGATCTCCTCTGTGTAGATTGTCTAACCTAGGCTCTTAGACTTTATGATTGTGCAATTCAGCCTTAGCGACCTAAATTGTTATTTCTAGAGAAACCAATTTTAGTAATCACTAGAATTCCATCTTATGTGACAAATTTTCCTTGTGCTTCGAGCGGAACATAAGGCACATCCACACTACACTTAGTTGTCCGTTTTTCCTTTCAGTCGGCTCTACAACGGCCCTCTTCACATTAGTATCCTCCATTAGACCCTCATACAACCAACTCATCACCCTTAATTTCAAATCCACCTGAGGATTTGAAGGAATTAAAAAAACATGAAAAAGGTAGAACTAGGTACAGATTGTGTGTCTATGCACCACTATGTATAAATCCAACAATCTATCTACATTTTAATACTTTCTACCACTCAAAATACTATAACACTCTTCAGTATCAGCAAAACGCGGGTTCGAATCTCAGAAGGGATAAGAGTTCCTTAGAGGTTGCAGGTACGCCTTACTGACTGGTGAGTGCCAAGTAACATGACATCTGGGTTCAGTCAAGGCATCCTGCCAACTGCCTCCAACCATCTGATACCAACAATTCACAGTGCACCGTGATGGCGAGCCACCTAGCTTGATGGTGACTACATTGCAAACTTGACTGACTGGTCGAATTCAATCTGCACCAAAGATAGGACTAGACATAAACCATACACCAGTTACTGACTCGTGTCCAATCAAAAAAGTATTCTCCATTTAATAATAATAATAGTAATTTACTTTGTTCCAAAAACAGTACTTATAATACAGAATGGAATTCTCAGCATTTGTCACGATATTGCATCTGATTTACTTAAAATATAAATAAAATTAAAAATGAAAACAAAAGTAACCGGAGGGATTTGTCTACGTTTACGTTATAAAGTCAAAAATATTTGAAGCACGGATTGAGATTATTAAATGTAATAATAATAATAACAGTGAGTTTGTTTCAAACAGTATCGTCGATTCAGTTTGGAAGTTTTAGCATGTTATAGATTATTGAACAGGGGAAATCAATCGACGAAGTCGTGAAGTTACATCGACTGAGATGGTTAGGACATGTGTTACGTATGCCAAGCCATCGCCTTCCTCAACGAGCTATGTTAGCGGATATAGGGTCAGGCTGGAAAAAAGCTAGCGGCGGTCAAACAAAAACTTGGCCTCACCAGTCAATGAAATCCACAACAGTTGGTCTTAGCCACGTAGGAAGGTGTAGACTTCCAGGCTGGGGTCCTCGAGATGGTAAAAATCAATGGTTGGAAACAATTGGTGACATGGCTCAAAGTGATCGTTCTGACTGGCGCAGATGAATCCACTCCTTGTGATTTATGATTTCCAATGAAACTGTTTTGATCTTCGTTACTACTCCTTTGTCTCACACCTCTGCTCACTGTTTCTATTATGCTTTTCTTGTATTTTCTTCTCTTGCTTCGCGTGCTACACGGAGTGTGGCGACTTGAACTGGCGCACATTTGTGCAAAGTTCTATGTCGAAAACAGACAGACAGATTGAATCTAATGTTCTGTTGATGTAGCAGTATGGTGAGGGGAAATACAAAATTAACAGTTATTCACACAGCTTAAATGATGTTCACACTTATGAAAAATAAATAAACAAAAACAAAAAATTGCGAGAATTATAAATATAAAAGGAACAATAACAATAAAGGTTGATGTTGTAACGGTGAAGGAAATGGTTTATTTATTTGTTTAGTGCAGAGAAGGTTAGTTAGTTCATGCCTGACACTATTTTCATCACATAAATTACGTGCCAAATGTGGTATAGTGGGATTTTTATACTTAGACGTAAATGCGTAAATTCATCTGAAAAGACTTCTTGTTTTACAAGGAGGAGACACAAGGTTGGAGCTGCGCGTAGCTTTCTATGACGTACAGATCTCATTATTATCTTTAAGATAATTATCCGTTTCCTGGTTAAATAAAGCATAATGTCACCACTATGCTATCCATTTGATAATATTCTAGGTGTCAGCCGAAGAAAAAAATTATCTAATGCATAATTTATTTTTATAACAGAGTTTGGAATACCAATATATGTTTACATATTTTTCACTTAATGGAGTAGATTTTTAGCCCAGGTGGATGTTTTTGTCAGTGTTGTGTCCTTTAGCTGGAGGATGTCTTGATCACGGAGCTCTTACTATCTTTCTGGATAACATCTTCATTTCTAATTTCGCGTTGGATTTTAGAGAATACAGTAAAAGTGAAAATATTTCGTTTAGTTCATGATAATTCACTCAATAACCAAATGATATCCTGTTTACTTCAACTGTGTTAGAGTTGTTGAAAAGTCTGAACATCCTATAAGTGTTGTTTCCAAGACAGTATGACCAGTTGACGACTCCCATCCAAAGCACATATCTAGAGATAAGTATACGAATATATTTTAAAGACATGTCTTTATAAGTCTGGATTAAAGTCATGAATTACCAAGGCTTCCGCTGTCTTTAGAAGTCTGTATTGAAGAAAACGCGACAAGTTGGCATGGATTCGGTAGATGATCTTAAAATCATAGTCGGGGTTGACAGAGTGATAGAAGTCGATCAGGTGTTCTAGAATAGAGCTTCGCATACAGTTCTTTTCTCCCTTGTAAATCCATGCCTCTGGAATATTTTCTCGTATCCGTGTGGAAAGTGTCCTCTGGTTACGGCCAGTGTACCTTGCTCCACAAGAGCAGATGAACTGACAGATTCGCACAGAGGCCGCCAGACGGGGGAGCTTACCTCTTACAGAGATGGAGAACAACTTACGGCCAGTGAACGTCATTTGTAATTTCGCTGCAAATAACGTCCTACTGAATGCTCTAGAGAGACGGTTTTTGAGCATATCTGAAGTATGATCGCCTTTGAATCCCAAGTTCATGAATGCGGTTTTCTTTGGAACTGAGTCAGTGACCAGTTAAGACTGCTTATCTTCCATGTTACTGTCGAAAAAATCGGTTCGGAAAACCGTTTTCTGCTAGCGTGGCTTTAAGGAAGTCAAGTTCTAACTCAACCCAGTCAGAACTACTACAAATGTTTCTTATCCTCGAACAGAGTAAGTGAATTAAGTTCCTTTTTCTCTGGAGATAAGTGGCATCCAACTATAAGAATTAGTTAGCTGTTCGTTCGATGTACATTTCCGGTGGATAGATCTTTTGAGAGATCCGTCATTACGTCTACTAAGGCACACATCAAGAAACGGAATACTTAGTTCAGATTCTTTTTCTATGTTGAATTGTAAATTAACATGGTAGTTGTTGAAAGCACACAAGACATCATCAAGAATTACGTTATTATCGCAGATATAACGAAAGTATCGTCTACTTATCTTTTATAAATGTCAGAATAATCGATAGTTTGACTAAGTTGACAGTTTTTAAGCTTTGCCATAAAATAGTCAGCCAGCAAGCAAGCAAAGGACCCAGTGGTGATCCCATGGCAATGCCATCTCTCTCTGTCTAAAAATCTCATTATTGAAGATGAATTGAACATTCAATGTGCATCTTAATAAAAGTTCTTTGAGGTGGACAGTTGGCAACCCTATTTCTAAACTATGTGTATCAAAATAATCACATATAAACCAAAAGTTTCCATGACAGGAACATTTGTAAATAATGAAGTCACATCTAATGAGAACATGACTTCGTCTGAGAGATTAAAATCTCTAATACTCTCAGTAAATTTAAACGTATCATCCATGGAATATTATTATGTAATAGAGAAATATTTATTTTAGGAGTGTAGACAGAAAGTAAGTTATTATGGGAATAAAGAGTCAATGGAATGGTCATTTAATCAACAAGATGATGCGAATAATGGAACTGACGAAAATGGATCCAATTATCATAAATCGTCTGCAGTTATTGGTCAAGGTTTTATTGATAGATATGGATTAAAAACGCCATCATTATATAAGAAGAAAAATGTGAGTCAGTGTTTGCTTTTTATTAAGTTCGAGTTTCCTTGGCTTTATGGTGTACAAGCTTCCCTTTGTAACTTGAGTATCCTGGATTCGAATCCTGGTGGTAGGTGCGTAGTAATGAAGAGTCTGAAACTAGGTCAAAACAGGTAGCTCTTCAGTACTGGTTTTTTGCAATGGTTCTCTAACTGATGTCAGATCATTTTTTTTTTTGTTTCCTTTTGAGATTTGGCCAATTGCAAGGGAACTGGGTACCCTGGTGAACTCCTATAACCAATCACATTCCTGCAACCCAAAACATGAAAATTCCTTTTTTATTGCACATATGATTTATGTACTCCGATAGGCATATTGTTTGATGAGTAAAAGTAGAGATGAAACAAGATTTTGTGTGTGTGTGTGGACAACATTCTTTGACAATTAACCCACCTGAAAGAAGCCATTTCTATCATATTTATGATGCTTGAAGGTATGAATTCTCGGAAAATACTGGAAATATCTTTAATCTCAGGCGAGAGATTGTTAACTGGAGCTTTATTTATCGAATCAACTGAAAAAAAACATGTAACAGAAGTGATCCAACACCTGTCCACTCGGATATCTAGAAAATTTTACTACCTCTAAGACGAGTAGGAAAGAATAAAGAGAACAATAAGAATTGTGTCTCCAAGTTGTGTAGTTATAATCGATGATATAGTTTAATTGTGTGAGGATTGAGATACTGCCTCAGCACCCACACCGAAGCAGGTGGTTGTCTTAAGGGACCACCTCTCGAACCTTTAACTTGAAGTCTAATCTGCAAAGCAGTAGAGCAGCGTCAGGAGTTACGTTCCCATAGTTGCCAGTTACCAATACAGGTTCATACACCATGTGTTCTCAATGGATTCTGGAGCCCATATACCCCATAGTAGTTGCTTTTAGTCTAATCGCTATCGAGACAACCTTTCTGACATGGTAGGACCTGCAGGAACATAAATCACAGCCAGTTTAGCTTGTTGGGTCACTGTGGTATTCCGGCCCGACCACCACGACAAGGTAGCAGTTATTGGCCGGGTGATGATATGATTACGAAGAATAAATTGTGTTCGAAACGTCATGTAGTAAATAATACTGTTTCACTATGTGTGCTGTATCTAATAAATAAATAATTATGAAATCTCCACTTAGTCTTCGAAGTTACCACTTTTAACGACGATGGACGATGAAGAATGCTGACTGTCATTTTGATGGTCACGTATTTCTAGTTTTAGTAAGATCAAATAAATTGCACCGTGTTGTAGATTAACGCAGAATTTAAATTTCAACCAGTCAGTGAACTGGTTTTCGCCCTGATGATTGACTGGTAGGATATTGGCTAACCACACATTTCATTTTGGGTTCGATCGCCGGCCAACAGACTCACTGCTTTACCTCGCTTAACTGGTGGTGATAAACCAGGCAAAGAGAAAAAGTTTGGCATTAGGCTAGCGACCCCATCCCATGGAAACCACCGCTGCAACTGAAACTTCAAAGTTTAAGCTTGAAGGCATATGCTCCACACGCAGAACTGAAAGGGATGATAAGATATAATAATACAGTGGGCTATATTTTAAATCATCAAGTTGGAGGATTTCACCATGAGCTGACATTAGTTAGAGAGCCATTGGAAAACAACCAGGGGGAGTACTGGATACCTGTTTCGTCCTAGTCTGGGACTCTTCATCAGTAAGCGCCAACCAACTGGGGGTGATATCAGGACGTTCTGGTTACAAGGCTAGCGAGCTGCGTAGACCATTGAGTCACTCGGGCCTTATCCAATGAATTCTAACTTCTACCAATTCATGACATATCGCGACCACTTTGAAATGTCTTCTTCGATGAGTTACTGCCTCACCTTCAACCTGCTTTACCCTACTGGTCACGGCTCCTCATTAGAACTCCAGGTCACTGCCTGAATAGGGTCAATCGCTAGTGAGCATCAGATATCTAACGGATGTCAGCTCATGATGAAATCCTTCAACTAATCAAACTAAACACCTACAAAAACCAATACTTGAAAAAATTGTCAAGTATTGGATTCGAACGTGGGATTACGCAACAAACTGTTCAATAATATGAAGGTAAACTACTCAAGGCAATCATTTGCGTATATTGTGTATTTAGAAAATCAAAGATATTTTTTAAATCAAATTTCAGTTTAGAGTACACAGTCCATGGATCATCGGATTGAGTGACTCATCTAACAATGTAGAAATCTGCATAAAATAGCATCAGTTCAAGTTGATACACTTGATAAAAGCACAGGACATGAAATTGATGTTTACACACATCTTTTAAACTTATCTATAGAACGTGTTTGGAAGAGGGTATTCTAAAGTTTGTGGAAGCCCTAGCTGGCAATTAGGAAGTTTAAAATATCTTTGTGCGTTTAAAGCAACAATTCGTCATCACACTAAACCTTACCTTCCATGATAAACTCTGTTTTGATACCAGCTAGGGTAGATGTAGTAGTTGTTACCTCTGTTATTTGGTTTAGTGATTTTCATGGTTATTTTGACCTTCAATATGTACTTTTAAATTGAGACCAAGCACTTCGGTCCAATCAATGGACAGGAAAATCAAAAATTCAATTCAATAATAATATGACCCGTTGCACAAGAGGTGGCTCTCGTGGCCCAAGTGGTCTAGTGGATAACGCTTTGGCGTTTGAAACTATGGGCACTGGGTTCGAGCCTCAGTGGGAACATGATCACTCACTGAGAAATGCAGGTACATCCAGCTGACGAGTCCCAAATAGGACGAAATGCGCATCCTGGATTCCACTGCTAGTCACCATCCACCAATTGTATACTAACTAAATGCCCAGACATCGTCGAAGCATCTGCACAAGGAGCCGACATGTCAACCTGAGACCGAGCACTTCGGTCCAAACAATGGACGGGAAAATCAAAAATTCAATTCAATGACCTAAGTCTGTTTCCTCACCTCTTAACTAACTCTTTGTTAATTTCATACATACATATTCCTATGACAAGTACGTGTATTGTGATCAGATTGTTCGAAATGTGTTGCACGCAAATACATTACAACACGATTCAGACAAATTACTTAATTGAATTTTAAATTTTCCTGTCGATTGATTCGACCGAAGTGTGCTCGGTCTCAGGTTGACATGTCGGCTTCATGTGCAGATGCTTTGATGATGCCCGGGCATGTAATTAAAATTCAATTGGTGGATAGTGACTAGCAGTGGAATCCAGCTTGATGCGCATTTCGTCCTATTGTGGAGTCGTCATCTGGATATTCCGGTGGGAAAATCATCACTCAATGGGGAATGCAGGTAGATCCAGATGACGAGTCCCAAATAAGACGAAATGCGCATCAAGCTGGATTCCACTGCTAGTCACCATCCACCAACTGAATTCAGAAAAATTACGTCATATTGCTTTGTCCTATATTCCACTCGGAACGCTAGGGAATAATAATAATAATAATAATAATGGTAACAATGGTAATAATAATATGGAACCCAATAGTTGTGCCTTACCTTCAACTGCATGGAACTGTAAAGTGCCTGTTGAGTTAAATTTTCTTTTCCCACTGAGTTTCAATAACCCTAATGTTTTTTATTCCTAGACACTTTTTCCCCTATTTGTCTCTCTCTCTCTCTCTCATTTCAGGATGATATACCGGTATCTGCATCTGCTCTACGCAACAGTCCATATGCATTCCATGGATAATTAAAGTGATACATGGTCAAAATTGATCACTGATTCAATACATGAATGAATGAATAAATCGATGAATATAAAATCCTACAACAGTGGGTTAGGATAACATTTATTGTTAGTTAACCAAAGTATACTCACGCCCACATTACATTGTATCGCATATTATAAAATGTTATACATAGTTTGTAATATTTTATTAACGCTGTTATTGTTATTATTACTACTACTAATATCATAATTGATCGTTTGGTTGAGTTTATGGGTTTACTGCTTTCTTATTCTTTGCCTCATTATTATTGTTGTTATTATTATTATTACCCTTATAATTTCAGTTTTACATGTTTCAAAAACACCTAAATTTACTTTCATATACGTATATATTGATGATGATGGTCAACTACTATAGTTACCATCATTGTATGAAAGTATTGCCCAAAGACACCGGTTGAAATCAATCAATCGATCAGTCAACCAACTGAAACGGTGAATAATCTCAAAAATCAACAACAAAAACTGTAAAAAAAAAACCCGTCTTGTTTCTCTTCTACTTACAACAATAATAATAACAATAACCATTTATTATTATGCATTCTGCATATTTACGATATAACAAAATATTGAAAACATAAACTGTGCTTGTTGACTTTATTTTGGTGTAATGAGCGTTTGTTCGTCGGGTAATCTTCTGTAACAACAGAAGACAAGGGCCAGGAATTATTATTGCTCTCTTGGGTTCCTAGGGGAACATAGGGCTTCAACTGCACGTCTCCTTTTGCTTTTGCTGTACTTTTCACCTGCATCCATGTTAGTCCATACTCTTTCAACTCCTCTTCACACGATCTCCTCCATGTCACCCTTGGACGTCCCACTCGCCGTTTCCCTTTCGGGTTCGACTCGAGGGCTTGCGCGATGTCACCCAGTGGTCTCCTCAGCGAGTGTCCGATCCATCTCCACTTTCTCCTGCATATTTGTTGGTTGGCGATTGGTTCTTGTTTTGTTTCTTCCCATAGTTCTTTGTTGGTGATTCTTTCCGGCCCGGCCATCTGATCTTCAGTATAGAGCGAAGACAGTTGTTAATAAAGGTCTGCAACAGGCTGTTGGAAATATTCTTTGTGACCCGCCCGGTTTCTGATCCGTATAGAAGAACTGACTGACTTGACGTTTGTATTGAAAATCCTACCGAATTTTGTTGTTGGTGCTGCTGAGTGACGAAGATTTCCAGATTGGTTTCAGGTTGATGAATGTGCTTCTCGTCGCCTTCCCGATTCTCGCTTGATTTGACATCCTCGTCCGTTCCTTCTGTAGTTGAGACAATGAAGTAACCTCTTTCAAATCCCTCCCGTTGATGGTGATTGGCGCTGGATTTTGGTGCTGCTGTTGTTGTTGGTTGGTTATTTTCATAACCTCCGTCTTGTCTATGTTCACCTGGAGTCCTGTCTTCGCCGGCTGCTTCTTCGACCAGTTTGTCGGTTTTCGCTTGTAAGTCTTCGATTTTGTGTGACATCAAACATAAATCATCCACGCGCGAAATCCAGGTCTTCTAGGTTCTTCACGTCGGTCCAGGATATTCCTGTCTTCTCGTTTCCCACTGTCTGACGCATAATCCAGTCAGTCCACCACAATTAGGAATATCATTGGTGATAGTAAGCACCCTTGTCTGACTCCTGTGTTTACTCCAAACGCCTCGCTGAGTTTTCCGTTGTGGATCACTTGACATGTGCCGTTGTCGTACAGCTGTTGAATAAGGTTGATGAATATTTGGGGTACGCCATAGTACTCGAGTAATTTCCAAATTACTTCACGGTCAACGCTGTCGAAGGCCTTCTCAAAGTCTATAAAGTTGAGGTAGAGGTTTGATTGCCATTCCATGCTTTGTTCTGTGATGATGATGCGTAGAGTTGCAATTTGGTCAGTACATGATTTGCCTTTCCTGAATCCAGCTTGTTCTGGTCGGAGTTCTGTCTCCAGTGCGTCCTTTAATCTCTCCAGGATGATGCGACTCAGGATTTTACTTGGCGTCGATAGGAGCATGATTCCTCGCCAGTTCTTGCAGAGTGAGGCCTAAGTCGCCCTTCTTTGGTAGTTTCACGAGGTAACCTTTCCTCCAGTCAGTAGGCACCTTTCCCTCCTTCCAGACCTTTTGCAATAATGGAGTCAGCATGTCTGCTGTAGTCTCTGGGTCCGCTTTCAGTGCTTCAGGGGGTATTCCATCTGGTCCGGCTGCTTTTCCAGCTTTCAGAAGCTTGATTGCATTCAAGACTTCAGCTCTCGTTGGAGGATTGGTGTCAACTTGCAGTTGTGTGTGCGCTGTTGTTGGTATTTCTGGACGGGTTGCAGGTGGTGGTCGGTTCAAGAGTCCTTTGAAGTGATCCGCCCATTGTTTAATCTGTTTTTCTTCCTTGGTAATTGGGTTCCCTTGGCTGTCTTTTATAGGTTTCGCTTGTGTTGGTCTCTTCCCGGATAGAGATTTGGTTATCTGATATAGTGTCCTCAGGTCCCTTTTGCCTGCTGCCTTCTCAGCTTCAGTGGCAGGTTGTCGTAGAATCGTCTTTTGTCCTTCCTAGCACTCTTCTTCACTTCTTTGTCCAATGCTGTGTAAGTTGAGCTCAGCGTCTCCTTCTCCTGTCCGTCCTTGCATTGAATCATTTTCTCTTTCACCATTCTCCTCTCTTCTATTAATTTCCAAGTGTCCGTTGAGAGCCATTCCTTGTCTTGTCTCTTCTTTCTTCCTAGAACCGTTGAACACGTTTCGTTGAGAATCGCCTTCAGAGACTTCCAATGTTCTTCCACGCATGATTCTTCAGTGATGTCGCGTAGTGTTTCCTGCTTTGCTCTGACAGTTGCAGTGAAAGTGTCTTTTGTGGTTGTGTCCTTCAGTAATTGAGTGTTGAACTTGCATTGTGGCCTATCCCCAGCTATCCTCGAGGCTTTTAGTTTCACCTTGAAAGTCCCTTCTACTAGATAGTGGTCTGAACCCACATCTGCTCCTCTCCTTGACCTTGTGTCCAGTAGGCTCCGTCTCCACTTTCTTGAAATTGAGATGAAGTCTATTTGGTTCTTGGTGTTTCCATCTGGTGAAATCCATGTCGTCTTGTGTATATCCTTGTGTTTGAACACACTTCCACCAATCACCAAATCATTGAAGGCGCAGAAGTCTGAGAAGAGTTCACCATTGTCGTTCATTTCACCGAGGGCCTCACGACCCATGGTGAGTTCTCTTCCTGTGTTGTCTCCTCCCAGCTTCGCATTCATGTCGCCCATCAGGATTTTGATATCGCCATTTGGGACGTTGTCCATTATTGCTTGTAGTTGTCTGTAGAACGCCTCCTTCTTCTCTTGTTCTGAGACGTTTGTAGGCGCATAGCATTGAATGACTGTAACTTTCCTTCCTTTTGAGTTGAACCTGGCTGTCATTATCCTGGAGGAGATTGGTTCCCACTGCATGAGAGCTTTGGTTGCTGTTGGTGACATCATGATGGCCACTCCCTCGGTGTGCTCGTGGTTGTCCTCTGGGTGGCCGGAATAGATTACTGTCTCTCCAGTAGGTAGTTGGCACCTTCCAGTTCCGTTCCATCTGCTCTCGCAGATTCCCAACACTTCTATTCTGTACCTTCTCATTTCAGCGGCTATCTGGGCAGCCTTTCCAGTTTCGTACATTGTACGAACATTCCAGGTACCCATCCTTACTTTTGCTTTCATCGAAAGAAGGCACATCGGCTGACTGGCTTCCCGAAGGCTTTCACCAGCCTGCGTCATTTCACTTCCCCGATTCCAGCGAAAAGTAAGGCTATTGTTTATGTTTTTAGAATTTTTAATATATTTATTCGTTGAAGTTTCTGTAGCGATTTGGTTGTTTTACGGGGTTGGAGTTGCTAGCACCACGCCCCAACCCTCCCTCTTTATCCGGGCTTGGACTGGCAAGAAAACTAGCGAGCTAGTAATCTAGGCGAGGTTAAAGGGCCAGGAATCAGACTGTTTATTGAGAAAATCAACAGATATTTATAGATTTTTATGTTTATTATAATTAGCGTCATTGTAAGCAGATAGGCTACGTTTTTTGATTGGTTGTTTTCCTGCTGAAGGTCAGACCATATATCTACTAATCGTATCTACCCACGCAAAGTGTGCTGTGATTGGCATTTGAGTTAGTCTTTGTTCTTTTCTTTTCTCATGACCCCGATTTGGGACGTAAACATTGACGTAAATTCTGTCAACCAATTTTGGCTAGCAGACAGCTCTCACCCCCACACATCTACGATTGGAGAAGAGCTAAGCTTTTGCATTCTTTGCAGATATTGTGCATATTCAAAAATATCCTCACATAGCAGCAGAATCTTCTCTAAATGCAGTATCGGGTGACCCTTCAAGATTGCAGATATGCCTTGCTGACTACTGGTGAGTACCAAAAAGTATGAAACTTAGGTTCAGTCATAGGGTTTCCTGCTGATTACCTCCAACCGTCGAATAGCAAGAATTCAGAATGCGTTGTGATTAATGGTAGGTTACTACCTAGTTTGTTAGTGGTCATATTGTAAAGTTGACTAGTGGAATTCAGCCTGCAGCGACAGCACCAAGGACTAGACGTATGACATTAGCTAATTTCTGTTGTTTCATCCACAGTTGATTATTTTGATTTTCCTTCTTTTACGTATCTAGTGGAACATGGGGTGACAACCTACAGTTTTGTAGTTTTGGTAGCAGTGATTTTATTTTTACAGGGTAGGGTAGCTGGCCTCACGGTCGACCTTTGCTCTTTACCAGCCTAGAGAGGTTTAGGAGTGCGTCTGAAGCCGGGGGATCGAACGCCGAATCACAGTCGTGCTTGGTAAGCAAACTGCCGCTGAACCACCCACGGAATATTATTATCCAAAGTAATTGTATTATGCTTTTTTCTTATGCAACTTGAAGAGATGAAATTTTGTGCAGACTGAAGGTCATACACATATAACTACACACACACACACACACGCAATGAAACATACGATAACTATGAAGGAAGCCGATAATTACCTGTCGTAGATAGCATGCTTCCTTCATTAATCTACTCATTCGATACACCCTTAGAACTTGTTTGTCTATCTATCATATCAGTTGATATGATTATGAACAATAATGAATTGTGTTCGAAACGTCATCCAGTAAATAATACTGTTTCACTCACTGTGTGATGTATCTAATAAACCAACCAATATGGAATTGCTAAGTACCACAGTGCCCAAGTTTTACACATATATATGCTCGGACGACAAAGTATGAAAACTCTACATTACCTTACTCGGCCGGGACACATTTTGTGATGATATAAAGTGTGTAAGGGATCTACTGCGTAACACTAAGTAAACAGCCCACAGTATTGTAAAGACAGAAGACAAGAATCAGGCAACAGATCGTTTATTGAGAAAATCAACAGATATTTATAGATTTTTATGTACATTATTATTAGCGTTACTGTTAGCAGAGCGGTGGTGTCTTCTGATTGGTTGCTTCCCTGCTGAAGGTTATTCTGTCATCTCTTTTTGTGACAGTTTCTTAAAAAGTTAAGCCATATATCTACGAATCATATTTCCACACGTTAAGTCTGCTGTGATTGGTTAATGAGTTCTTCGAGGCCAAGCTTTGTTACTGTTTTTTCTTATGACCTCGATTCGGGACGTAAATTGTTGTCTACAACTTTGGCTAGCACCATAATATTACTAATGAGCATTAGAGTATAAATCAAACACCTGGATACCAACTAACACTTGGGAATGTTTCCTGTTCTATTTTTTTTCAGAGTGTAACAACTCGTACTATTAACAACATACACATACAGACACACATCAGCGTTAGAGGCGTTATGTGTATCACAGTCACCTAACATCCTCCAAACACAGGCGCTTTCATCACCCAGATAGTGCTACTAGAATAATTGAGAGTCTTAATCGGATAGAATGATTGACTGACTGGTTTCTGCACAGATGTGCAGCAGCTCCAGTCGCAAAATTCCCTCTATATAGTACACAAAACAGGAGAAGAGAGTTGATATGTATCCACATATATATATTTATGTGTGTGTGTATGTTGGTCTCTCTTTCTGTTTGCTCGCTTAGTCTGTGACCATTTCACTTGTATGAACCTGTCTCCTTTAACAATGTATATTCCCCTTATATTATGTATAATATGAGTGTTTGTTGACAGTCCGTTGCTTGGTGACATATATCCATATTATGTGTGGTTGTTGACATGTCTGCTATATTTCGCTATGTATATATGGATCGATACTTCATTATAATTAGCCATTCATGTTAAGACTGTCTATTGATTGTTCACACCCTTGTCATATATATTTCGTTCTCACAATCTTGTGTGACTTACACTTACTTACTTTCTTTGGTGTGATACCACTTTTGCATTCTCCTTGTGTTTGGACAATAGAAGTATCATCGCAAACCTAGTGGTCTCCTGATTTCCGCCTTCTTGCGTCAGGACTATTAGTTTCTCGACCAGTACATAGCAATAATTTAGCGACGAGTACATATCAAGAGTGAAGCGAGATAATAAATAGAAGCATGCGGGAAAAATGACAGTAATATGGGAAAAAAAAATAGTTTTATAGCATATGATAAATTGTAACTGTAGAAGACGAGAGACTTGGTAAACGGATGTTAATTTGGTATCTCTATATAGTGAGATGGAGTACACGTTAACTTCAACGCGGCATTTACATAAATCTTCCGTGTTGTGCTACTTTTCGCCTTCATATTGTGTTTCTTTAACGTCTCTCATGTAACTCTCCGCGATGCTGTATCATTTGCTTCCTCTGACATCAAATCTATCTCCCTGATATTTGATGTTTTATGCCAGCCGATGAACGTCTCATTATATACTACTGATAAATCGTATCAGTAGAACATGCCAGAAAATCACGAAAAGTGAATGTATCTGCGCCATCCATTGACAACGAGGATTTTAAGCCATATCACCAATTGTCTCCAGCCTTCATTGGTTTTCACTGTCCCGAGGATCCGAACAAGGAGGTCTACACCTTCCTACGTGGCGACTGGCTTAAACTAACTATTGTGGATTTGATTGAATGATCGAGCCAAGGTTTGGTTCAACAACAACTAGCTAATTCTTTTCAAACCTGATTAATCCTATGTCAGCTAACATTGCCTGGTGTTGAGGAAGACCATCGATGGGCTAGGCAGGCATGCGTAACACATGTCTTAACCATTTCATCGATTGATTCCTCCTCCTTACCTAGCATTCAACCAAAGGCTGACCTCAATACTCACCGTACCATGCCGCCTAACATGGGAGATAGGAGGCAGGCACCTATGATGAAAGACGGCTAGCCAGGGTTTTCATGTCTTCCACTTTCAAAGGCCATATCTCACTCACAGCCAAGAAGGGAGACAGCAGTATACACGACGTTTAATCGATAGCCAGGTGGATATCTTGTCTACTAATCCAGAAATGGCGTAAGCTGGCTGACAAATATACTAAACCAGCCTTTTGTATCTACTATGTATGTTGCGGTTTGATGCCATTTCGCTAAACATGTGAACTAGTCGAATAGGTCAGATACAATACAAGACGACTTAGCACAAATGACTCTTTATTTTGATTATGTAATAGAAAATGGAATTTTTTAAAAACAAAATGTATGTATGAATAAGAAATAGATATTGAGATTTATCAATCAATATAAATGAAATTTTTAACCCTTCTTTTCTTTTCTGGAAGAAGAAATTTGTGGATTACTGATCATGATCCACATTTCTCAACAAAGTGTATCGAAATTTTGAACTAATTTTTGTAGATTCACAGTATCTAATGGAATATATATGAATTCTGTACCATCGGGACCCTGTTGTCAAGGAAAGAGAAAAAAAAACAATCAAGTGATGGTTTACAGGGATTTGGTTAGTTAATGGTTTGATCACGAACAGACTTCGACTAGGAGACAATTAGGAAACCAATAAGGAGTACTAGACAGCTAGGAGTTTCGTCCCAGTTTGCGTCTCTTTATCAGTACGAAACCAGGAACTTCTGGTAACAAGGCAAGCTCGTAGAAGTTAGAATTCCTAGGATATTGGATTGGAATTCAAATGGTTGAATCACCTATGAGCTCGTCTTGTAAAGGGGAAGAAGGTCCTGGTATTCCAACACAGGTGGGATGTGTACTTCTGAAGAGTCTTAAAACGGGACGAAATGGGTAGCTGTCCCGTCGTACTCTCGGGTTTTTTTATCATGGTTCTCTAACTGATGTCACTTTGTGAACAAACCTGTAAATTGTCAAACAACAGTAATCACATTTCTGTAGAAATCAATCAAGTCAAAATGCATTCATCACATTGTTACATTAGGATTACATTCGTACAATTCCTGTGTATGCGAAATATAGAGGATGACTCATAAAACTAGTTCGACTACCCCCATCTCCCCCCGACTGATAGCTACTACCTTAACACTTCAGTATACTCAAATGACCCAACGAGCTATATATACACTGACTGAGAGGAATTTTTTCTGTAGTCCCTCCCTGGCTAGAAAAGTCGTTTGGATAGCGGTTAGAATGAAAGTAATTAAAATCGATAAGGCAAATTGTTTATACTACGTTGGAGGTTTCATCAGCAACACATAGCAATTTCGCCTTGTTATTTGTAGTAGTCATTTCTAGTTGGCCGCCCCTAAAATCACCCTAAAGCTTTCCATCTCGTCCCACGATCCTATCCATGTCATTCCTGGACACATACCTGACTCCTCATCTGTCCTATTCGATTTCTACTCGAGAGTCTGCCTGATACGTCGTCATTCTACTTAACTGTCTCCTCGATGGATGTCCAATCTGTCTCTTTTGCTTCCTTTTCTATACTTATTCGTTGATATGTTGTTGGTTGGTTCGTTGATTATCTTTTTTTTTAACCGGCTATCTGACCATCAGTATGAGAAGGAGGAAGGTAGCTGTTGGCGAAAGCCTGAAGTCTATTAGGAATGCTTGTGTGGTTACACGAGCACCAAGCCTCTAAACCATACACAGGCGCGATTGCTTGTTATTACTGTCATTTGTTTACCAACCAGTCAGGTGGTAGAGCACGTTAACCGCTTCACTTATTTGGGAAGTACCATCAGCCAACGCCAATGGGTTGATCTCTGATGAAATCTCAGCATGAATATAGGGGGCTCGTTTCGCACTTGCCAGTTTACGCCGACTCTGGCGTAGACAAGATGTTCGACTATCGACCAAAGGGCGGGTGTACTGCTCATCAGTCCGCTCCGTCCTCCTTTATGGCTGTGAGACACGGCTATTGAGAGTGGAAGACATGAAAAGACTAACTGCCTTTGATCATAGGTGCCTGCTCTCTATCTCCCGTGTGAAGTGGCACAATAAGGTGAGCAATATTGAGGTTAGGCGTCGAGTTCTAGGTAAACAGGGGAAATCAATCGACGAAGTCGTGAAGTTACAAAGACTGAGATGGTTAGGGCATGTGTTACGTATGCCAAGTCATCGCCTCCCTCGACGAGCAATGTTAGCGGATATAGGGTCAGGCTGGAAAAAAGCTAGCGGAGGTCAAACAAAAACGTGGCCTCACCAGTCAATGAAATCCACAACAGTTGGTCTAAGCCACGTAGGAAGGTGTAGACTTCCAGGCTGGGGTCCTCGGGACGGTAAAAACAAGTGGTTGGAAACAATTGGTGACATGGCTCAAAGTGATCGTTCTTAATGACTGGTGCAGATTCATCCACTCCTTGTGACTTATGATTTCCAATGAAACTGTTTTGTTCTTCGTTATTAACATAACATAACATAAGCTTTATTCCAAATCAGTACTTGTGATACAGAATGGAATTCTCAGCATTTTACTACAATATTGCATCCAGTTTTTTACATTAACAATAAATAAAGTTCTACATAGATTAAAGTGATCTCAACAACATATTAGTATGTCGGTAGCAAAGCCAAAATTAAAGTGTTTGAAGGTGTTAGAAAAGTAGATACTACTAGCATATTTACTGGCGTAAGCGATAGCAAAATGGTCGAGATATACTCCTCCTTTGTCTCACACCTCTGCATACTGTCTCTATTATGCTTTTCTCGTACTTTCTTCTCTTGCTTCGCGTGCTACACGGAGTGTGGCGACTTGAACTTCCGCACAAATGTGCGGAAGTTCCATGTCGAAAACAGACAGACAGACAGTGAAGTACATTGATAAAATTAAGAGCAGCAGAAGGTCGAAATAGTACCCGAGCCGAAGCAGTTGATGGTCTTAAAGGGGTTATCTTCATCTGGAACCTTTGACTTCAAGTCTGATCCAAAAGGCCGTCGACAAGCGTACGCATGGTTTCTGATGGTCAAACCAGGTTCATAAATTATAGGTTTGAAATAAGAATTTTCCATTTCCTCTGGATATACCTGCATGTCCATCAGTCCGTTTGTAAGCACCAGCCATTCTTATTCATCGTTTTCCTTTTGTGAGGAACATCCCCCCACCCGCCCACACACAGCGGGAAAGCATAAAATAGAATTTATTTAACAGAGACTATGGAAGCACAGCCACATAAGAGGATTTCGAGAGGAAGACCAATATCTACTGACTCTCGGCATTGTTATTTATTCAGTATTCTTCATAACAAAACAATAAGGGGATAAGGATGAACAAACGGTTGTAACAGAGTTAAACGATACAAATCAATCAAGCAAAACGATAACAATAACAAAACTAACCTTTTTAATTTTAATTAATTTATGATCACGAAATTCTGTTAATTGTGCTTTTAATGTTGTCTCGTTACTTGTAAGAAAAGCATCTCTACAACGCCAGTATAAATCTTCCATAGCGATACCTGAAATTGTAAAATAATGAAACACTTAACCATAGACAATAAAACAAAAATAAACAAGACAAATTGATAACACCCACTATGCACTACAACTGTTTCTCAATTAAACAGAGAGTTTCAACGTCTGATGGCAGTACTATCCAGGATATTTTTTCCAAAAGAAGTTATGGGTTAGTCGATAGACTCATTACTTCACATGGTTTATTCTTCTTGCATACAAACGAAATCTCCTCAGTATAGGATGCTTGTAACAACAGAAGACAACGGCCAGGCAACAGATTATTTTATTACGGAAATCAGCACGTATTTATATATATATTTCCTGTACATTATCATAGCTTATTCAAGTAGACGAACGCAGTCTTCTGATTGGTTGTTTCGGGTAACCATCGAAAAGTGGAGTCATCTATCTGCGAATCATATTTGCCCACGTTAAATTTGCTGTGATTGATTGTTGAATCAGCCTTGCTCATATTTTTTCACGACCAATATTAGTGACCTAGACATTGACGTAGATTAATGTCGACCAATTGGCTAGCAGCCTTCTCTCACCATAAGCTGATGTCTCAACACTAGAGAAATCTAGACAACTGACACTCTGAAGGATTAGGTCAAAGAACAACTGAAAACCAAGGAATACTGGAGAGCTGTCCCAGCCGAAGCTGGGGACTCTTCACCCGTACGTACGTACGACAACAATGGTGGATGAAAGCCAGCACCTTCAGGTTACAAAACGAATCCATTGATCATTCACAGTCATTGGATTGAAAATCAATGACCCACGAATTCTGTCATTTTGCGATAGATAGATAAATACTCTTTTCGGTCAATTCATTTTCCTCTCTAGTTAGCTGCACAATCTACTTTATATACAATGTCCCTTTCATGAAAGAGGGTAGTAAGAGAAGTGAGGAGTAGTCACAAGCATAGCTGTAAATATTAATGAATGCATAAAAAGGAGTTGAATAAGTGTGTACTAGAGTTGTGTAATAAGATGAATAATTTAATGAGTTGTAATCAGGCCAGTGGTCGTTCGACGCGTATCCTGTCCAAAAAGGATTTACGAACACTATCCCACAGTATAGTTTCAAAAAGATGATAGTAGTTCCATAAGGACTGCAGTAAACAAACATCTTGTCAACACTGGTCATTCCAATATCAATAAACGCCTACTTCAAAGTAATCCACAAGGCAGTACGCTTGCATTTTATTTGCATAACTGAAGCTTTAGCCATTTAGTTAGAGGAACCGGAGCTATGCATACAACCACTTCTACTGAGAAGGCTGGCACAAAATCTTGATTTCTACTAACTCGATTTTTGTTGGTTTGTTTTTTTCAAACTTCTTATAACTCTTGGTATTTCTCTAGAACTCTTTTATATAATTGAATATTTTCCTTTGTTTCTGTAGGGATCCTAATCACAAATTACTCATCAAATCATTCATCTTATTACGCAATTCTAATACACACTAATTCAACTTCTTTTATACATTGTTTAATATTAACAACTACGCTTGTGACTACTCTCATCACTTTTGTTGATACTCTCCTGCATGAAAAGGGAATTGTATGTAAATGCGAATGTACGGCTAGAGAGGAGAATGAATTCACGGAAAAGGGGGGGCATCTATTCACCGCAAAATGATATTCATAGGTCTTTCAATTTCAATCCAATGACTGTGTGAATGGTCAATGGATTCGTTGAGTATGCAGCTGATCTTCAAAGTTACACTTTGAAGCTTGTATTTGGAGTTGAAGATAAAGTCTCTAATCTTCTGTTGGGAGTACGAAGCAGTTTATTGAATTGAGCCCTCTGTCTGGTCTCAAAAGTAGTTATATGGAAGTGATTTATCAGAAGTTCACGGATCTTGTCATATGACAGAGAAATGGGTTTATCTGGAAACGCCAGATTCTTCACTAAGGCATATGCATCTAGTCCAATAGCAGTAATGAAATGAGCTGGAATTTTGTCACCCCGAACGTTCTTTGAAATGCACCATGCCTCGAAGCATTCAAGGTAATCAGCAATTTCTCGCGGAGACCCATTAATAGGAAACTTTCCAAGGTTATTTAGTTCCATCGCGACGCCAATTTGTAGTAATTTATTGTAATCGTAGTATTAGTATTTCGAGATTACCGAATTACAAGAATCCAAACAAAACACAGAGAGGGCGGGATTCAGGAATTTGTATTTAGCGGAATTCTAATGCAACTCATATATGAAACATATTAGAAATCAACAGTAAGTACTTAGACAATACAAAGATAGAAATTGTCAATCACCACAATGATTATCCGTTTCCTGATTAAATAAATCATAATGTCACCACTATGCTATCCATTTGATAATATTATAGGTGTCAGCCGAAGAAAAAATTATCTAATGCATAATTTATTTTTATAACAGAGTTTGGAATACCAATATATGTTTACATATTTTTCACTTAATGGAGTATATTTTTAGCCCAGGTGGATGTTTTTGTCAGTGTTGTGTCCTTTGAGCTGGAGGATGTCTTGATCACGGAGCTCTTACTATCTTTCTGGATAACATCTTCATTTCTAATTTCGCGTTGGATTTTAGAGAATACTGTAAAAGTGAAAATATTTCGTTTAGTTCATGATAATTCATTCAATAACCAAATGATATCCTGTTTACTTCAACTGTGTTAGAGTTGTTGAAAAGTCTGAACATCCTATAAGTGTTGTTTCCAAGACAGTATGACCAGTTGACGACTCCCATCCAAAGCACATATCTAGAGATAAGTATACGAATATATTTTAAAGACATGTCTTCATAAGTCTGGATTAAAGTCATGAATTACCAAGGCTTCCGCTGTCTTTAGAAGTCTGTATTGAAGAAAACGCGACAAGTTGGCATGGATTCGGTAGATGATCTTAAAATCATAGTCGGGGTTGGCAGAGTGATAGAAGTCGATCAGGTGTTCTAGAATAGAGCTTCGCATACAGTTCTTTTCTCCCTTGTAAATTCATGCCGCTGGAATATTTTCTCGTATCCGTGTGGAAAGTGTCCTCTGGTTACGGCCAGTGTACCTTGCTCCAAAAGAGCAGACGAACTGACAGATTTGCACAGAGGCCGCCAGACGGGGGAGCTTATCTCTTACAGAGATGGAGAACAACTTACGGCCAGTGAACGTCATTTGTAATTTCGCTGCAAATAACGTCCTACTGAATGCTCTAGAGAGACGGTTTTTGAGCATATCTGAAGTATGATCACCTTTGAATCCCAAGTTCATGAATACGGTTTTCTTTGGAACTGAATCAGTGACCAGTTAAGACTGCTTATCTTCCATGTTACTGTCAAAAAATCGGTTCGGAAAACCGTTTTCTGCTAGCGTGGCTTTAAGGAAGTCAAGTTCTAACTCAGCCCAGTCAGAACTACTACAAATGTTTCTTATCCTCGGACAGAGTAAGTGAATTAAGTTCCTTTTTCTCTGGAGATAAGTGGCATCCAACTATAAGAATTAGTAAGCTGTTCGTTCGATGTACATTTCCGGTGGATAGATCTTTTGAGAGATCCGTCATTACGTCTACTAAGGCAGACATCAAGAAACGGAATACTTAGTTCAGATTCCTTTTCTATGGTGAATTGTAAATTAACATGGTAGTTGTTGAAAGCACACAAGATATCGTCAAGAATTACGTTATTATCGCAGATATAACGCAAGTATCGTCTACTTATCACTTATAAATGTCAGAATAATCGATAGTTTGACTAAGTTGACAGTTTTTAAGCTTTACCATAAAACAGTCAGCCAGCAAGCAAGCAAAGGACCCAGTGGTGATCCCATGGCAATGCCATCTCTCTCTGTCTAAAAATCTCATTATTGAAGGTGAATTGAACATTCAATGTGCATCTTAATAAAAGTTCTTTGAGGTGGACTGTTGGCAACCCTATTTCTAAACTATGTGTATCAAAATAATCACATATAAACCAAAAGTTTCCATGACAGGAACATTTGTAAATAATGAAGTCACATCTAATGAGAACATGACTTCGTCTGAGAGATTAAAATCTCTAATACTCTCAGTAAATTTAGACGTATCATCCATGGAATATTATTATTTATGTAATAGAGAAATATTTATTTCAGGAGTGTAGACAGAAAGTAAGTTATTATGGGAATAAAGAGTCAATGGAATGGTCATTTAATCAACAAGAGGATGCGAATAATGGAACTGACGAAAATGGATCCAATTATCATAGATCGTCTGCAGTTATTGGTCAAGGTTTTATTGAAAGATATGGATTAAAAACGCCATCATTATATAAGAAGAAAAATGTGAGTCAGTGTTTGCTTTTTATTAAGTTCGAGTTTCCTTGGCTTTATCGTGTACGAGCTTCCCTTTGTAACTTGAGGATCCTGGATTCGAAACCTGGTGGTAGGTGCGTAGTAATGAAGAGTATGAAACTAGGACAAAACAGGTAGCTCTTCAGTACTGGTTTTTTGCAATGGTTCTCTAACTGATGTCAGATCATGATGAACTCCTATAACCAATCGCATTCCTGCAACCCAAAACATGAAAATTCCTTTTTTATTGCACATATGATTTATGTACTCCGATAGGCATTATTGTTTGATGAGTAAAAGTGGAGATGAAACAAGATTTTGTGTGTGTGTGTGGACAACATTCTTTGACAATTAACTCACCTGAAAGAAGCCATTTCTATCATCTTTATGATACTTGAAGGTATGAATTCTCGGAAAATACTGGAAATATCTTTAATCTCAGGCGAGAGATTGTTAACTGGAGCTTTATTTATCGAATCAACTGAAAAAAAACATGTAACAGAAGTGATCCAACACCTGTCCACCCGGATATCTAGAAAATTTTACTACCTCTAAGACGAGTAGGAAAGAATAAAGAGAACAATAAGAATTGTGTCTCCAAGTTGTGTAGTTATAATCGATGATATAGTTTAATTGTGTGAGGATTGAGATACTGCCTCAGCACCTACACCGAAGCAGGTGGTTGTCTTAAG